GAGAGGGAGCTGAGACCCCAAAATTTTTCTGAATTGAATTCTATTAATTAAAAGGGGGCTGAGCCCCCGAGCCCCCCGAGCCCCCCGAGATAGCCCAACGGTATATAGTGACGGTATATAGAAACAGTCTGTTATTCAACCCCCCACAACACTGGATGTTTTATGAAAGTCTTAATACGAATAAAACAATACAAACTCTGCGTTTTTCTTCCCTTGCAGCCCGCTCTATGGAATTTTTCCTCTTTTGTGTCGATTCCCTAAATACAAAGATTGTAGGGATTGCATCTGCCTTTAGTTTTTTTGCACCTGGCTTGTTTTCCATAAGTTCTTTCTGGAAAGTAATTTTTCATAAAACAAAATATTATTCAATTCGAATTTAAAGAAAAATTTGAATTTAAGCAATTCAAAATTCATCTTCTTCTTTTATTAAGCGCAGCCCTATCACATGCTTGTATTTCATTTATTTCACTGCATGAGATATTTCAGATTTTAATCCCTCATGCCCAAAATTGGATACACCTCTTGCAATTTGTGTTCGGCTTACCAAACAGACAAGGCGTTCACGACGCCCATGCAGCAGGCAGAGCAAAAAGGAAATTCATCATGACTCAATATCAATAGAAGAATTACTCATAATAGTCGTCATCGCTAACACGAAGTTGGCAGTGGTTATGGCAAAACATGTTATATGTGCTGTTTTTGTTTGTATTAGATATGTTTTCTGTCACTCCTGTAAATGCTTTACCCCTTTCATTTTGTAATACAATATTTTCAGCCCTAGAAAAAAATCTCGCGCATTCAAGTAAGCTTTTTGGAATGAAACTGACTGAGAAAATAGATTAGAATTGGTGGTTTTATTTTTGCTCGTTTGAGGCATTGATAAGCCGTTTTCATGTTGTTTTTATCTAACAAATGGTTTATTTCATACTCAATGATACAGCTACTTTGAGGTACCCAAATTATATTTGCAGAATTTCTGACGAAACTTCTGACGATTACTAAAACCCGTAGAAAATAGCATTAGCGTATTAATTAAAAATTTAGTTACCTTAAAATCTCTTTCATAGCAGTCTTCGGCAAAGTGTTCCGAGCAAATATAAAAACTCTTGTCTTTCGGTAATTCACCGGCACAACGTATGTTCGTTAGCCACATTTTTCTGAGTTGCTTGTTGCGACCTTCCCCTGGTATCTGATGAAACATCAATTCTTTATTATGACTCGAGCGATTTGTGCACCCAAATGCACCACAGTTCGGCATTTTGAACGAAAAATCTTTAAATACTGTCCGATTTCGAGAAAAGTTGTTTCTCAATCCGAAACCTTCCGAATCAATTAACTTTCACCATAGCTTACACTTGAGTCACTCTCATCTTCTGAACGTGATGACGTCAAAGGCAACAACAACATTATCCTCGTGAGAGTTGAAGATGGTGGCCTGTCGCGAGGCGATTTTGGGAGACAGTTTTCGTGGAATAACAGAGTAAAATGAGAGGTAAGAGCAAAAACAATTCACAACAAAGCCTTCTGTTATATTTACAGCAATATAGCCAAATTTCATTTTAGACCGAACTTCCCCTTTAAGGTTCCTTCAATTGCAGAAGAATGGAAGCAAGTAAGCAATGGTTTCAAATCAAAATGGAACTATCCCTTTTGCATTGGTGCACTGGATGGTAAACATATTGGAATCCAGCAGACAAAGAATTCAGGATCCGAATATTTTAATTACAGAGGGTTCTTCAGCATCTTGCTTTCTGCATTGGTCAGTCAGGACTATAAATTTTTATACGTAGATGTGGGTGCAAGTGGGAGGAATGATGATGCTGGAATTTTCGAAAGCAGCACAATAAAGAAAAAGCTAGACCACGGCACTATTGCGTTTCCAGAGCCAGAAGAATTGAGAAATAAGTTTATCCAGTCTATAAAGATTGCACACCAAGCAATACGCTCATTGACAGTGGGTCAACATTGATCCTCATTGATAAAATGTCATTTCAGAAATTGCAAAAAGAACCACAACTTGAAAACAGCAAGACTAAGATATACACTTATCTAGGCAAAGAACCACTGAAACTAAAAGGAACATTCAGAAAAAAGGTAAATCATTTAGGAATGAAATCCAAGCAAAATTCCATGTCACAAAAGGTTAAAGAGGAGCATTGCTACGACAAAAGACAGCAGAAAGAGTTGATCTTTTAAGAGTAGGCCCAGTCCTAGGTTCTAAAGCAGATCCAACAAATTCACTTAATAAATCAGTAAAGGAAAGCAAACTGAAAACAAAATAGACTCTAACATTCAGAAAGTTCTCAACAACAACAAAGGAGCATTTGAGGGCATGGGTCAATTCAAAGATTACAAGTTGAAACTATAGTAGTAGTACCAATGCCAAATAGACCATAAGATTATGTTGAGATATGAGAAGAACAAATGAAGAGTATAGTAGGAGAAAGACACCAGATTCCCAAAGATAAAGAAATCCTCTCAGAGCTGCATAATGCAAAATACTTTTCAAAGATAGATTTAAAAGAAGGACACCAAGAACTAGAGTTAGCAGAGCTAAAATCAAGGCACATAACAACATTTCTAACACATGAGGTTGTTTTCAATCAAAATGTATGGTCATTGAGTAGAGATGAAATGGCAGAGCGATTTTGCACGCTATTCAAAGCATTGTATGCCAGAAACATAAAGATCAACCCGAAGAAATGTGTATTTGGTACAACAAAGCTCACATATGCAGGATATTGTCTAACAGAAAAAGAAATTCATCCATACCAATCCAAAGTGGATGCGGTCAAAAATGCTAAAGCCCCAACAAATTCAACAGAAGTAAGAAATTTCCTAGGTTAGAAGTTCCAATCTTTGTTTACACTTCATCAAAGACTTTGCCACAATTACATAAGCTCTGAGGAAAATCACTAGAAAGAAAACTACATTTGCATGGAAACTCACTAGAAAAAACAAGGAACAGCAAGCAAGTTTCACAAAGGTAAAAGAAAGCCTAACAAATGCATAATGGCTTATTACCAGCCTCATGCAGAAACAAAAGTCATTGTAGACGCTTCACCAATAGAATTAGGAGCAATCCTTACTCAAAAACAATAAGATGGACAATTCAAGCCAGTTGCCTATGCATCACATGCATTAAGTCCAACAGAACAAAGATATTCTCAGACAGAAAGAGAAGTTTTGGTCAACACAGAAGTTTCATCACTATTTGTATGACAGAGAATTTACAATAGAAATCGACCACAAACCACTTGCATTTTCATAATGTTGCTTGTAACCTTGCCAAGCAGCTTGCAAAAGAGTCAAGGCAAACACTTTGAAATTCTTTGTGATCTATGATACAAGTAAAACAGTTCCCTCTCCGAAATAACTATATGTTATCTGCAAGCTTTGCAGAAGTGGTGGTATTCTTTTCACCGATTTCTTCTAGAGGGTTATGATATATCATACATTAGGCACTTTTCATAAAGCTGTTTTTCAAAGAAGGGGAAAGGTTTTTAGCTGTTCATTTGCCTCTTTTCAGAAGATGAACCTTCGAATCACAAAAGGTGAAGCACCTCCCGCCTCCCGAGAATTCTAACTCACTATTTGTACCAATCTAAATTTCCCAGTCGAAGTCATCTTTGCCATGTTCGACATCAGCCAATTCTCTTTCGGCAACAGCTTACTTTGGCTCAAACATGCCCCAGGCCATGTCTTACATTGAAGGGCTGCATCCAAAATAATTGTTTACCAAAAATACATATTCTTTATTACCTGAATAAAAACATATGACTTTAAACCAAAGTCGCACCAGATTGGTCAGTTGGGGCGGCCCATGATGACGGGGTAGCAACCATCCAAGCAAGAGTGTTAACGATTCTGGAACTCTGTGGTATAGTTTTTCAAAGCCTACAAATTACATTTGTTTTACGATTTCCTCTGTAAATTCAAGTTATATTTCGCTACGCAAGTAAAACATTGTTTGCTAATCTCACTTGTGATATCCTAGATCGTTTTTATATCACACAAGTTATTGACCTCGAGCTGCTGATAGTGTAATAGGTGTGTGCTTAGGCCTGTTGATGAAAGCGTAGAAAACAATATGGAAACCGAAATCATCATGATAGCAGGTATTTTTGACTTTTTAAAGAGGAATCAAGTTCAAGTCTGATTTTGTTCTCCAGTTCAGAATCACCGACTTCACCATCAATGCAGTGGTTTGAGCGTCAATGAAAGACAAGAGCTACTCGGTTTCATTAACTTTAGATGGCTACGGAGGAATCAAGGAGGTTTATTGTGACTGCATTGTGACATATAAAGATACATCTGTGATTGTCACAGATGTATCTTTATATGCAAACAAGAAGGGGTTATCAAAAACAGATTTACCAAACTCTTGGATTGCACGACCAAAAAAGGCTGCTAAACAAAATGTGAAGACCCTGTCTGACTTGTTTCCCCAAAGCAAACCTGAGTATAGGGCCACTTCCAGAAAAATTGAAGCCAGAGATAAACAAATGCTTTTTGAAAATCTGGCAATGTCAACCCCATGCCCGTTACTGTGGATTGTTGGGCCAGAACCCCCTGCAACATCAACACCGGAAAAAGTGTTTCAGAACCCGGAACTGTTGAAAGCATCCTGGATGTCTTCAAAAAAGATCAGCAACGGTTAATGGAGAGATGCCACGTTACCTCTGATCAAATTAAATGGCTTACAGAGAAAAACAAAAGAACAGCAAAGGTCATTGTTATGGGGCAAACATAGGTAGTTTCGACTAACAGGTAGCAATTTTGGTGTCATAGTTGCAGCATATGACAGACACCAGTTAACAGCTAGACCATCATTATTCAAATCGTTGATGGGAGAGTATAACCTTGCAGGGAAAGACTAAATATTATGAGGACAAATGCACGAAGAGAGGGCCATTATTAACAGAGGGCAACTCTGTTAAGTGTGTTGGTCTGATTTTACTCCCTTGTGGTTTCCTTGGATACTCTCCAGATGGGGTCATAACTGGGGCAGCAAATTAAGAGCATGGTATCCTGGAAGTCAAATGCCTTGGCGACACAGAAACAGAAATTTTGATGAGATGATGCAAGATGAGCTGAAAGGCCAGGAGACTGCTGCTTCTTTCTTAAAGCAGGTTAGAAAGTCTGGCAACTCAAAAGAGCTGATGTGGGAATCTTCATAACAAAGAAAGGAGAATTAAAGGAGACACATAATTACTGACATCAAGTACAGGGGGAAATGGAAGCTGCCAATGTATCATGGGCACATTTTGTAATTTGGACAACCAAAGACCTTCAAGTAATTTATGTCAGCAATGGCTGGGCAGAAACAAACATACCCAAGCTAGCATAATTTTATATTAGAGAGTTTTTGCCAAAAAGAGAGAAAGCTTGGATAACGAATTTTTACAGTTTGATACAAGTTATCCTGATCTATTTGTTATAGGTAATATGAAGATTTATTTGTTATAGGTAACTTGCACAGAAATAACACTCATATTCTGATCAAATAGCACACAAATTTTAATAAGACTGATCTTGCACCACTATTTTTAAATGAACATACATAGCTGTAATACCACTATTTAGTGGACTTTGTAAATTTACCAAAGCAGAACATACTTGGATTATTTTATTACAGAAAGGCCTAAACTTACAAGAAATTAAGTTAAGTATTTTATAGTTTCTCATTCTTTCAATTGCTCTTTCCACCTGGATCAGTGAGCTTGAGATTTTCTTGCAAAAGTGCTTCTTCCTTTGTAAATTTGGATTTGCCTGACAAGAATGGAGGTAGGTTTAAAAACACATCTCTTGGAATTAGGTCATGGATCATAAATCCTTTGTCAGGTAAAACGAGCTCCAGCCTGTAATTAAAAATAGATTGGCTCCATTATTTGATTTGCATTTTTCTTGTGCATTTCACATTTATAAAATCTGAATGGCAATTCTGAGAATGAACACATAAAGAGCATATAAATTTGGAGTGAAAATCATTTAAACCAATGAATGTTGTTTTCTGCCATTTTCTTGTAACTATAGTTTCATTTTGAGTTTTTTGTACTATTAAAATTTGGTAATGGTTGATAATGTATTTCTAAAACAAAAATATATTTTTCAATGATAGAAGATGTGAAGAGATGGACCAAATAAGAACCTAGGCGAATTATTAGAAGCCAATTCTCTAATATTCTACTGTAGGTAATCTACCGTCCAGCCAAACAAGTTTGAAGTTACAATATTATAAATGATGAATGTCACCCTTATCTTGAGCTAGTTCATCAAACAACCTTCTATAAGGTCCTGGATTGTAAGTAAAAACCTTAAGATGAGAAATTATGTGCGATTGGTCTGTGACAACTTTGTCACTAGTGCTGCCTGGGTAGCCATTGCTGACAAATGTGAATGATCCAATGAGTTACTTTGCCGTGAGTCTTTGTTTGTTGTTACTGTAGCTTGTTGCAGCTGCCTCCAAATCTTTCCTTAGAGTTTCAATTCGAAACTCGGTGCAGTCGATTATGATCCTGCAATTTGGTATGTCCTTTGATGATTCAGGCATGCTGTATCTGTTTTTGACTATTGAAGGCAATTGGTCCAAACATCCAATGAAAGTTAGTTCATGTAAGACATATAGGTGTGTAAGAAAAATGTTCTGGATTGTTGTTTGGCTAACAGAAAATCGTTTGGCTAAATCAAAATAAGGGAGGTCTAGCTTCATTTTCTTCAGAAAAACAAGTAGCTGGTCTGATGAACTAAGGGAGTTCACTGTTTTTCCACTCCATGTATGTGGACTACAAATTTACCTGATTGAAAAATTATTAAGTGTGAGAAGGAAGAACCGCAGGATAGGCTGTCCGCCGGATTCTGTGAATCTTGCAATGAGATTTTAAAATGAAAGGTATACAGGAACAAAGCAATACGACGATGAGAATCCAATGTCACGAAATAAATTTTCAAAATAAATTAAATTTAAGAGTATACTAAAATTATTGCCTGAAATTTTTAAGCTACTGTCACAAACCGCTGCAATACATTTTATCAATCCAACTCTGTATAATAATAACGGCCGTTGCTAATAGACTTGGCAAATCTCTATATCAGGAAGGAAAAAGGATATAGTTACTACCTGAGGCGCACCATGGTTGCCGCCAAAGGAGAAGGAAATTTTCAAATTTTGATGCTGCCAGCTCACTTGAAAATGAACTTTTTCAAGCAATTTTCACTAAAGCAATCCTCCTAATCCTATTGAAAATTATTGTTTTTTTGGAAAAAAATTTTTACAGCAGATAAAAACAACAATTTAGCCGTGGTCTTGAAAAATACCAGGTTGTCAGCTACTTCTAAATTTAGATCCCTCTCTCCATCTTAGCATGTCTTTTGAATGTTAAGAAAAATCTGGAGCTCATAGTGAATTGCAGTTGACGCTTTTACTGAGAAACTTTAGGAGAAATGGGCACAAGGCACAATTTTACCTAAAAAGGGTCTGGATTTTTAGATTTATTGCCAACAAGCAATCTTCAAATCTTCAAATTATTAGTTTGTTTACCTTCATTCATATCAAGGAAAATCATGTTTAACCAACGGAGAAACTGCCTTCGCTTGATACAATTGATTTTATGACATGAAGGTCTCTGAAATACCTAAAGCGTATCTTGGAATGATGATGGATATGTGCTGGCTGGTAATGTGTCATGATGGGAGGGAATTCAAATTTGCAAGGAATTTGTATCTGCTCAAAGTTATACTCACAATTCTGAAGTTAATCATGTGGATGAATGTTGGAATTTCTTTCATTTTTTCAAGAATTTAGCATATTTTTGATAAGAACTAAAATATTATCACTTTGATTAACATTTCTATATCCAAATAAATCACGAACATTATTTTGGCTTTGCAAACTCATCAGTTCATCTGAGTAACAGGTGTGCAGTGGTCTTTAATTGGAATTTTGACAAAGTTGTTTTATAGAAAAAAACGCGTTGAATCATACCATAATCTATTCTCCAATCATTTTGTCAAAACGAAGTCAAAATATATCTCAATTAATGTATCGAGGCCTTTCAGAAAAATTATAAATAAATGGCCATCCAGACTGTCATGGTGGTCAAATGATTCAAACATTGTATCTGTGCCTCACAATTATGTGGAAGCCTCGAACAAACTCACACTGGAAAATATTTGGTTGCTAACTTCGTCACTTATTTACTTGAAAACTGTGTTGAATATTAAAAAACTGAAAATGTATCAGGTACTTGTGTTTGATAAGTTTTCATTCAAGGTAAAATTAATTTTGCGTGTAATAGCCATATTTACCAATACAGCACAGGTCTGCTTCTCGATCAATTGTCTTCTTTTTAAAATGCAGATAAATTGAAAAATAAAACGAGCCTTAACTGTAAGGTGAAGTTTGATTGAATTCTTCTCTGTCATCAGCAGAAACGAATGATCTTCTCTGTCAATCAACTTTGGTATTGATTGTTTTATCTGGATGCAAATAATTCAAAATCTGTCGTAAAACTAAAATGATTTAAACTAGAATGGAGGATTTGAGAATTAAGCATCCATTCAGCACTTGTAGTGTGAATACGCTAGGATTGAGTATCTGCATCTATATTTTGCTTTCCAGGAATATGAGCAACAGAGAAAAGGTTTAGTGGAAAGTTTATTCGTTTTGCCACCCTGTTTAGTGTTGTTTAGTAGTGTTGAGTGTTGTTAAGCAAAGTTTGATCCTGTTAAAAAATGTTTAGCGTTGTTTAGTGTTGTTTTGAAAATGTTTAGTCGTTTTGCCACCAATTAAACATTGGTTGTGCTAGCGCAGGCACGGTAGCTGTGGGAATCAAAAGGTTTTCCAGGGTTTTTCTCGGTTTTCCAGTCTATATGTGACCCAAAATCTTTATAATTCCTTCGTGAGACAATTTCTTTGTCTCCTTGAATGATACTGTGTCTTCTTCAACAGTCAACTTTTCTATCAATGTATCTATGTATTGTATCAATGTATTAGGTAAAGTATCTTTTCCCCCTTTCTTTTAGCAAATTCTTATTTTTAACCATTTTTTGCACTTGAAGTCTTTTATGCAGTAACAGAAAGAAAATTTCTATGCAAAATGCCCTACAACCCCACAGCATCTTACACAGATTGCAGTTCAAAAATGTTGAGCAAAGTTTAGTGAAAAGTTTAGTCACGTTTCGCCACCCCCTCTAAGCTTCGCTTAACTTCACTAAACAAATGTTGAGTCAAATTTTTAGTGAAATGCCTAATGAAATTTTTAGTCATTTTGCCAGGGCTTAAGGTTGGTATAGATTATTCTCGTTTGTTTAGATGAATTTATTTCATATGACAAATAATACCATCAAATCACTATCAAATTAATAGCAAACACAATAAAAAATCACATCTTATCAGGCTACTGCAGTTTCTAAAAATTTCTTCAGGCAAACTCAATTAGTGAGATTCGCATGTTATTAAACTGGTTGGGGGTTTGACATGTAGATATGTATATTTGTATACATGTTATGATGCACAGATCTCTCTTATTGTTAGGCTGCGTTCACACTGCACAATCATTTTAAATCATCTCTAGTCGCTATCAGATAATTTCTAAAGAAACTTTTGTAGCGTTCAAATTGGCAAATATAAAGACGCTAGTTAATGTGATTTTGCTTGTTAGTTAGCTGCCAGTTTAGTTACACATATGTGTTCGCAAGATGGATTTCAAACTTTCAATAACTGAAGTCTAAAAGCGCCCAGCTATTTAGGATCCTAGGGATCCTAGGCATTGCAACAGAGATGTTACAGTGAGATGTTGGACAAAGGTTGCACAAATAATGCAGTCTGAAGGTATTTTCAAACTCAAATAAAGTTTAATAAATTCTAAGTGTTCAGAATATGTTATATTATTGCTATAAAAAACGTCATTGTATTCCCAAAGGGTCTGATTTCATTTATGGGCAACACAATTCATATCCTTGTTACATTTATTGCAGCCCCTCGTGTGTATAAATATCTATTACCCTTATCGTTCCCCTCTAAATTATGCAAAAGACCATCTAGGTATATTCAGTAATTTTGGTAGTGAACTACTATAGAATTACTATAGTTTAATAGAAAAGAAACCATTCATGTTCTGTGCACAAAAGTGTAGTTATCAATTTTTATTTTGATTAACATGGAAACTTGCTAGCAGACCTTTGAAGACTTTCCATAGTTTTCCATGCAACCATAGTTAAACACCAGTTTAACAAGGATAAGCATTGAGTTGTTGCATTCTAATTCTTTTTTTAACTACAATGTAACTTTACAACACTCTTTGAAAGCTTATCTAAGGATGTTAATCTAAGGATCAAAAGATTTCAATGATGAAATCATACATTTTGAAGATAGCATCAAGATAATGCAATCCTCAGATGCAAGTTGTTGAATCCAAATGAGATAAGTCCATATTTGATTCCCTTATTATTTGGTTATTGGGAATTTTTTTGTCATGTGATTTTCATAGAGTCTTGAAAGTATTTTATGTGAGTATTGAAAATGCTGAAATCACCATAACTAAAATTCGGATATGCAAATCAACCCCGAACAAAAGATCCACACCGCCCGGCGATTCAAACGGTTTTCAGCCAAAACCGCTCGGCCGATTTTCAAAATTCTTTTTTTCCCTGAATCCTTGATCCCCGATGCTCCATCATAAGGTCTGCTTTTTCTCATTTTAGCTTCCGTTCCTGAGATATTTACACGGTTTTCTCCGAGGATGCAAGATCTCGATTAGTGCTCTCCGCGGTCTTTGTCCCGCATTTCTAAAGGTTCTTTCTCTCTCTTTTCTCTTGCTCTCTACAAAAGATTTCAAAACCTCTTCCTCCAGCAACCCTTCAATTTGAACGGAGGCTCTTCAAATTCGTTTCGCTTTCCACAAAGGATCCATTGGATTTTTTGTAGTTAGAGGAGAGGATAGCTAATAAATCTACGTGCGCTGCTGCTTGACATTCCTTTTCGAACTCGAAGCGGTCCTAGACGGTCCTGTCGTGTGCTACATCTACAGTCAATAGTGGGTGCTCTCGATCTCAGGTGAGTCTCCTTGACTTTTTTTATCAACTGATTTTTTATCGATCGATCGATTGAAATTCCGTTTCTTATTATTTGGTTTGCAAGAGCCATGTAATTCGTGCTTTTGACGATCTCCCTTTTCGTTTTAGTAGCTACGTACGTACGTACGGTACACACGCTGCTGCCTGATATTTGGTTTTGCGATGGCTGCTGGCTGTTCCCCTTCTTCATTGGCATCAGAATCGATGGCATGCGAATGCAAGTAAGCGTTGATGTTCTTACGTTTTTTTCGATATTACTTGTTTCAAATTATTTTGTGCTCATTTCGATGAGATTCCACTAAAAACCGGCCCTTAAAAACCGGTCGCTTACTGCTAGACCCCCGTCGCGAACGGCGAATTTTTACCTCTTCTCGTGGTTTTGTGCTTAAAGGAAACTGGATTGGCTTTATTGCAATCAAAATATGAAGAATTGTGGTAGATTTTTCCTGCTGTTTATTCTTGATGCAAGAAAATTTGATTTTCATAGGAAACTCGCTGTAATGCGAATTATGTAACGCCAGCCCCCAACTTTTCCATGCTTGACGAGAATCCTTTACAGCAACTTTCCATAACCGCCTTCTTTTTTTGTAGATGAACGATGGAATTCGCTGACGTCTTGGTACAACAAGTGAGTATTTTCGATTAAAATTTCACTTTTTTCTGTGATTTTCCCACTGAGACAAATAGGATTTGCCTACCTCTTAAGTTAAAATTATTTCTAGCTTTGACAGCATTTTAGGAATTGTAAATGAATCATTCTAAAAATAATTTCAAATGACTTTTTGCTTATTTGGATAAAATTCCACTAAAAACCGGTCACTAAGATTTGCTGCATTGCTCTCTTAACAACAACAATTTCAAATGATTTTATGCTTAATTTGATGAAATTTCACTAAAAACAGGTCGCTAATAGGGGTGGCTAGACTCGCCGCGAACGTTTATTTCTGAAATTTTTTCAAATCATTATGACTATCGATTTTCTTATTACGCTTGCTTTGACAAAGAAAAAACATCTTCATAATTGTTACTGTTCTTCATCTAGAGCAAAGACAGTTTCAAGCAATAATTATTACGCCGACGTGATTCTCAGACATTGGAACCGAAATTTATGGCATTTATGCTGGTGTTAAGTCGCACAATGAAACAAGAAAAAACTTGACACTGGATAAAAGGACTAAATCTATAAAGAACAACTGTTGTCTGTAAATTGTATATTGCTGATATATTATCGGTGTAAGATTCCTTTCTAATGCACGAAAATTTTGCTGTTTTCTATCTTTCAACTTCTTGAGTGCTTTGTTGCTGCACGTGGACCTCAAATGAATAGAACTGCGTAATAACTTTATGATTCTTTGGAGTTTAGGTCAGAAATCGTTAATTTGCTTATGAACCAACATACTTTTTAGGAATGTTGATTCTTAAGAAACGGCTAACAGGAATTTATTGTTGGAAAACTTTAATGTTTGATTCAGAATAAACGGGGGGACTTTTGAGGGTGGCCTGCAATTATATCTTAAAACAGCATCACAATTGAACAAGAATTGAACGAAATGCTATGATAGAGATATTCACGCTAGATTCAAAATGAACATTATAACTTTAAGAATGGCCTTAGAAAATATTTATAAGCGCCCCATAAATCGACGAGGGCTAAGAGTGTATGATTGAAAAACTTCAACAATTTGATTCTGACTAAATAGGAGAACTTCTAGGAGTAACCCATGAAAATGTGTCAACGAGGATAAAGAATTGATGGGGCTTGCAGAAGCATGTTGCTGTCAACCTTAAAGTAGAATTCAGAATAATTAACAAAGCTTTTAGATAAGCCTGCAAGATATTTAAACGAGCACCACGATTCACCAAGAGATAAAAAAAGATGGAAACTTTAAGAGGGTAACCCGTGAAAATATTTAAACAAGGACCACAAAAAGATCTTTGCTTACAAAATGTATTGAAGCAACTTTCTGTCTTGCCTCGATATTGCAACCGTTTATGTATCAAATTCATATGTACATTTCAATGAACGGAAGACTAGCTCCCAGTAAATCCCGCTATGCGGGCACCCTATGGCCCCAAAATGGAATAGTAAGATTAGCCTCTGAAAGACAAGAGTGCTATTAACCTCGATTTCAAAATAGTTCAGATGGTGATTAAAGCTATGATATTGCTAATTGGTAATCGTAATAATCGAGGAACTACTCATTGGATTGATTCTATTAGGAATTTCGCAAGTATCGGTCTCTGGAGCCAGCGAGTAATTAAGTTTGGGTTTACTTTTCTAAAAGGATTTACTGAATTACAATCAAGGTAATAAAGCATTATCTTCCTACACGAAAAAAGCTCTTATCTCAATAGGGTTGTTGCTGCAAGTAAATAATACTTTGTCCTCGAGCAATTATTTCCTGCTCTTGCCAATAGTATATGCTACTCACAGTAGGCGTGACTATGGATTGGATTAATTATGTTTGTCTTTTGTCATGTTTAGAGTGTGCTTGCCTGCTTGAGTATGATATTAGATTTTTTGCTCGCATTCCTTATTAAATTGAAAAAATGTAGGAGGGCATTGTTTTTTATTCTGATTTTCAGGATAGATTCAATTTTAATTTGATTTGTCAGAGGAGTAAACAGATAAGTAAAGTTGGGAAGTCTTGACATGAAATTTTATGGAAAATTAAAACAGGAGACTTAGGGGGTAACCCATTAAAATATTTAAACGAGGAACACGAATAGACCTGGGCTTGCAAAAGTTTTGCAGCAACTTTCAATTAACGGAAGACTAGCTCCCCTACGAAGCCCGCTACGCGGGCTTGCCAGTGGCCCTACGGTAGGGTACATAGATTAGCCTCGGAAAAGACAAGAGTTTTCTTAAAACCCCCAGTGTATGATAGTAAAATTAGCCTTGGCAAAGACAAGACAAAAATGTCTAGCATCTATCTCAAATTGAATGGTCACGCCCCATAGGGGTCACGTGATAAAAAGCAGCTTGCTGTGCTAAAAAATTTTGGTAAAAAAATTCACTCCCACTCCTGTGACTATCGCTAGGAAGGGGGGAGCCTGAGATAAAAAGGGGGTAGAGGCTCCCCCCTTCCTAGCGATAGTCACAGGAGTGCGAGTGAATTTTTTTACCAAAATTTTTTAGCACAGCAAGCTGCTTTTTATCACGTGACCCCTATGGGGCGTGACCATTCAATTTGAGATAGATGCTAGACATTTTTGTCTTGTCTTTGCCAAGGCTAATTTTACTATCATACACTGGGGGTTTTAAGAAAATTCTTGTCTTTTCCGAGGCTAATCTATGTACCCTACCGTAGGGCCACTGGCAAGCCCGCGTAGCGGGCTTCGTAGGGGAGCTAGTATACACTAATATCTGTTTGGAAATAATAGTATGGTTTTGAGTAGCGATTTATTTTCATACACATGTATTTTTCCCTGTTAATAATTTTTTCATAATATATATAATTTGTGCCATTTATTTTAAGAGACATCGTGGGCCTTCCATACATTCTTTCAAGTCAAGCATTGCTGACAGAAACAAAACAAACAAACAAAAAATGAAAAGTTTGGATTCTTTGGTAAGTTACATCCAAATGCAAACTTTTATATATTATAACCTTAATGGTGCTTGATAGTTGTTAATTCCAGAGATGAGTATAACAACAACTTTATTTTTGTTTCAGTTTCAGTTCTTTTGTTTCAAGATTCCTCTACATAAAATATCTTATTACTTCATTATAACTCATAACATACAATGTTAACACATTGCATAAAAATACTTAATGATCATGATAAATAACAATAACTAAGATGTTGTTTGTAGGGGAATCTTTTAGGTGGAGCACTCCCAGTAGATAAACTGATCGAGAAGAGAGCACCTCCTTTTCTAAGATGGTTTTAAATCTATTTAATCATTAATCAATTTACATGGGTGACAAAACAATAAGGCAACGATCTTTTTGAGGCTTTTGAGAAAAACTGACAACAGGCAATTATCTTTTTATATCTACTGGGATATTGCTCCAAGATTTAGCACCAAGGAATAGCACGGACCTGATACCATATTGCAAAAAGTATTTTTTTTGATATGAAGAAAATGCCATTTTTGTGGCATGCTGTGTACCGTATTGTTGAGTATTTCATACAGATTCAAAGAAGTGCCCTATATCAAAATTATTTACCCATAAAAGGTTAATATATGAAATATTGACCCATAAATTTTTCATCAAGTAAATGAATTTTAGGTGTTAATGATTGTTGATGAATCTATTTGCTTATTGAATTAATGAACCTTGCAATTTTGAAATTTCAAGGCAGACCAAATTCTAGAATTCAAATGATTGATCATTCTGCAATATTCTACGTAATTTATCCCATTGTTCAAGTTTATTCCCTGTTTTTGATCTTCCTAAAATTGGATGTTGAGCACTCTTGGATACTGATTTATCAAGTCTGCTAACTAATTTGAGAAGATTATCTGAAAAAATTTAAATTTGCTGCCTCTCTATAGAGGCTCTATCTCATGCTGTCGTTGTTATTTTGGTTGACTAACTGGTTTAAAGAAACTGGAGTACCATCTGTTTGCCTTATTTTGGTTATTGATAAAATAGGAAAAATGCATATTAAGCCAACAGGTATTTATTTTTTCATTCTGACTTGCATTACTTGTAATCCTTGTCTGATTTCCATAATCCATGAGCAATCTTTTGTTTATTTTAAACTCCATTATGCTGGTTGCTCTATGAATAATAGATATAGGGCAATTAAGTTGGGGGGATCTACTTTTGGAAGGATCTACTTCTTTCTCCTACCAGTCAATAATTTCATAATGGATGTCCAACATGTGAACAATATTATTAAAACTTGTTTGTCCTCTACAATTCAAGGTCACAGTGAGTTTCAAGCATTTACAGATAATCCAACTGTGCTATTCAAAGTATGTGCAGCAAGACATTCAAGAAGCCAGCAATGCAATCAACAGTGAGATTAACACAGTATTATAGAAAATTCTGAAAATTTTATGTGCTGTTGAAGCAAAGAATTTTGAACATTAGTAAATCACAATATTTTGCATCAGATTTGGATTAGCCCCTGATTAAGTAAATAATTGTGCTGCATGTGTTGGATAAGAAAATTTGAGATTTTAAATTTTACAGTTATGTGATAGACGTCTTTTTGTTGTGACACAAAATATCATTAGAAGAATTTGTAATATTTATCATTCTGAAATTATTGTCATTGAACATATCACTTAAGAGGCGCTCTTGGGAAAGTGAAATTAGGATTTTCATTTGTTACCTTTGTCATTCAATTCTGTGTTACAAATATATGACTGCTATAATCCTTTTGCCAATTCTCTCAGTTTGAATGAATTCAAGGGCATAGATTCTCAATATATAAGGTATTTGTTTTTTAGACACAGATTTCGATCAAACAGTTGTCAACACAATGTTGAGCCAGAATGTGCTACATTTTGACGTTGACAGCAAAAGGAAACTTTTGACAGCTGCAGTTTTGGGAAATGGTAAGAAGAATAATTACCTTAATAGGCTAAAAAGTACCAATCTTCGAAAATCATCAAACTCTTTAATATATTTATTTTGAAAAGTATCCAAATTTGCTACGAAAAATGATTTATTTTGAAACGAAATGGTACATTATCACACCCATTTGTAATTGTCAGAATGAATTTCAACTACTATTGAGAGTTACATTTTCTTTCCAAAAGGAATAAAGCGAAGAAAGCTATGGGACATAAATAGAAAACCCGAATGGTGGCCAGCTGATGTTCCTTTTCGTTCTCCAAATGCACAGCCAAAATGCAGCGTGATGGAACTCGACAAAGTACTGGAAAAATGCAATGCTCACTTTGTCGAACGGTTTGGTCCTGAACCATTGGAAGTTGATCAGCATGGCATGGGAGTTGATAGGGAGGTTGACGAGGAGGCTGATAGAGCTATAGAGCAGCATTCTGAACAATACGGAGAGAACGCTATTGATCCAGAAGTAGGAACGATCAGAATGCTTGCAAAGAGCTTACAGATCTAGATCTAATGCGCATCGAAATTGATAGAGACATTTATAAAGTATGATCAATTGTATTCTTATGTAAATAGGTTCTTTGTTCCTTTTCTGACATATTTGAAGTACAGTTTATAACATGACGAGTTTATAACAGTTTATAACATACAAAAGAAGCAACTACAAGCCAAGTCAAACATACAGTTATGTTGTATATTTCCATGCAGCAAGTGTTTGATTTGTGATAGCATTTTAATTACAATGCAATATAAAGGACTTATCAATAATGTCTTTTGAAAGTGAAGGTTTTTGAATTAGGGGTTTATGAGAACGCTCCCATAAGAAATTCAGAAAACAATGTTTTGTCAGATATTGACATTGAAAATGTTTTCTGCCTTTAGTGAAGGTAGTCGCAAAATATGTTCCTGTCCAAGGAAAAGGCAACAAAAATGAAGATAGATCTGTTTTTACGATCTTGATTTTTGTTGACAGCAATTTTTTGTCAATGTCTCAAAATAAGGTAGAATCTATCCCCTATTTATGCTGAATTTTACCTGATGTTCATCAGGAAAGAATCACTACAAAATATTGAAAAAAGACGACCTTTTGCTAGATAACTATTTAATATTTTGGTAGGAATACACTTGGAACACAGCTGAAAGGGAGCTATTTTTGGAAGGCATTGGAGACGTAACGAGCCCAGCTTTGTTAAAGAAATTACTTAAAGTTTTGCCAGACCATTGCCCATATCCCTTCACCTCTAGTGTTGGTAGGAAGGATATCAAGTTTTGGTAGGTCGAATATTTGCTTCTTTTCCTGATCCACGCAGTTTTAAAAGACCAGCAATTATTTTCCAATCTTCTTTTTCAAAGTCTACTCAATGTTTCAAGATGCACCTTTTTACTCACCCTGTCATGAAGTAGGAAAAGAACCAAAATGAATCATTCATCATTGTAGTTTTCTTAACATTATTTTTTATCTCGTATTTACAATGTCATGATGGTGTGATAGACATTTAATTCAAAGATAGGTGTTTGATTGATGTTGCATGTTTTATT